ATTTGTTTTATTATCGCTTTCATATTTTGCAAACTTTTAACGACTTTTTGAGTAACAAACTCAAGGTTTTCACACCGAGAAATGGCAATGTTGTACAGAAAAAAACATTTTTATCTCCATCGCGTGAGACTGTGTATCCGAAATTCTATAGATGTGCTCAATTTAAAATTATTTTGCGATATTGCTCTTAAATTGAATTTTATGGTTTAAGTGCGAAGAACAGGATATTTAATAAATAAAGGTAACACACAAAATTAAAAAAAAGTCCCTTTGGGCGTAATATAAAATCTGAAAGCGTTGTGATTTTTTTAATTTTAACTTTTAATTAAATTAATTTTTTTCCTTAAGCAAGAGACTTGAAAAATGAGCAGTGCCTTCGCCAGAACTCGAACCTGAATCTCTCGAATACGCGCCGAGTGTGCTACCGTTACACCACAAAGGCATGCTGGAAGGAGGTAGGAATTACCTCATACTTTGAACTTATCACCTGCTTCGATTTTAAAAAGTAATGCTAGATCTTAACACCTATCAAACGCATTTACAAGATTCCAAGACACAATGAGGCTGAGTAATAAATAATTGAAAGGAAGAGCTAGAATTAATAACATATGTAATTAATAAAACATAAAATTTAATTTCATAATTAATAAAACTGCAAAAACAAAAACTGAAATAATTGTAAGGTTCTGTTATGATAATCTAAACAGTTATTATAATTTTAGTGCTTACTTTCACTTTTTCTTTCCGTTTCCTTACCAGAATGCAAATTACGTTAAGAGTATTTCGGATTGCCTCTCGAAGCCACGTTACTAGGTTTCTGCTAGCTCAGGTAAAATTAGGTTCTCCGGCTTTGTATTTAGCTGAACATTTAAATTGTTACGCCAGGGAGAAGTTTGAGCTAACTTCGCGTTAGATAAATTGTGCAGACTTTGGCTACTAAATTTATCTTTAAATCTTGAATTTGACTGTTACTTTCTCGCCATTAGGGATGGCTGAGCTTGTCAAGCAAGAATCGTTCATTAACGTTAAAACTCTGATTTAACAAAATATTCTGTTAAACTTGTAGAGTAATTAGGTTATTTTTATACGGGAGACGTGAAAAATGAGCAGTGCCGTCACTGGGAATCGAACCCTGGACCTCTCGAATACGTGCCGAGTGTGCTAAACTTTAAACCAAGAAGGCATGTAAGGAGGGAGAAAATACCTTATAAACCTTATCTAAGACTTTGCAGTTCTTTTGAGGCACAGCGATAATACGCTGTATATCTGCACGGAGCCTGGACTTAGTTTATGATACTAAAGAACGTCAAACTCTCTATAGTTATAGATAAATATATCTATTTATTGGCTTATTTATAAATTATGATTTTACTGTGTATCAACAAACGTGTTTGGGATTACTGTATGAAGGTTTTCTTGAGAGAAGAAAAGAAAGTACTCTAAATTCGTGTGAAGATGCCTAAAAATGAGAAGAAAGAAACTTAAATAAAGTACCTCTCAGGATATACACTTATTTAATTAGCTGCAAAAATAGGGATGCTACTTATAAAACAAAATACATGACACCGTTACATCTGCTGTATAGTTGGAGATTTTGAAGAAAGCTGTCCATGGTAATATGTTTGGCTGCTGCATGATAATACGAAAAATGCTCTGATTAATTTCTGACATTCTTAACGGTACCGGTAAGAATAAGGAGACCTTTTTGAAAGATGCCATTCTTGTGGTGTTTTGATTTACGATTGTTTGAATGTGAATCATGTGTATTGTGTCGATTGATTCCTCAAGATGAGTTAGGATTTATTATCCATAAGCCAGATATTTGCTTTAAGTTTTTACCAAGAACTTGTCAGCAGTTTCTCCCGTACACAAAGTTCTGTTGATTGACTAATTTTAGTTAAAATGCCGACAGCAGGGCTAAATTAAAAGTGTTTCGTAAAGATTTTTTTATTTTCGAGATCGGTCTTCGTAAAGATTTTTTATTTTCGAGATCGGTCTTCGTAAAGATTTTTTATTTTCGAGATCGGTCTGCCATGAATTTCCAAGACTAACTCAAGCGATACTCAAGTTTCTGTTCTCTGACGGAAAATTTTCTTCCTGCAGGAATCACTTCACATAAACAATTACATAAATAATATATAAAAAAATCTGAATGGTTTCAGATTTTATATTACGCTCCGAGGGGCGTCTTTTTCACTTACACATATATACATGTTTCAAGATCATTCAGGCTAATGCCCCTTAGAAATAAAAGTATTTGAAAACACCATATCTTTAGAATTTTCGGCAGACAGTCTCGCGCGCCGGAGACAGTCTTTCGCGCAGTATGCTGCCACTGCTCGTTTTGAAATCGTAGAGTTTCTTGATAAAAAATTCGATAAAGTTTAAAAATATGAAAGAGATAATAAAACAAATTCGAAATTCAAGATTCGAGCTTCCAAGTACCCATGTTCGGGTGGAGGACAATGTTATTCAAACTTTGATGGCTCTAAATTCTTTATTAATGAATTAATAAAGAATTTAGTGCTATCAAAGTTTGAATAACATTGTCCTCCACCCTTGATTAAATCTGCATTAATGTATGTGAGAGAAACATACATACATTAATGCAGATTCCTCAACATTTAATTTTTTTAAACATGATATAGGGCGATAATATTTGGCGGCAACAATCTGAAAAGTGACAGAGCCATATATAGTAATTCGACACAAAATGCCATTTCGAAATTAATAGCCCTTCTGGGCCAACTCATCTTTGGTCCAAAAGGTATAAATATAATATAACAAACTCACATATAAATTCTAATTTCTTTATAATATTAACTTTCCATCGTTTCTGAATCACGGTATGCGTGAAATACCTTTTAAGAACTGACTTGTAGGATGACTACCTGGTAGTTCTATTAATTCAGGATTTGTATGGGAGATGAAAAGGTAAGTTAATTGTTTCTGCTTAATTTTATGCTTAATGATGACAAGGAAAGGCCAAAGCATCCCTTTGTTTTGCACCATGTAAAAGAATTACAATTAAAGTATTTATAAGGTATTAAGTTTCTTATAATTTTCTCCTTCCCTTCTAGTCAATGATCCCAATTTTAATTCATCTTTACCTTCAGTTTTTAACGAAATGTTTTTATAACTGTTTTCACTTTCTGATACAGCTGGCATTCCTGTCTATTTGCTAATACGTAAACCCAAGCTTCTCTTTCGTCATTTTCATTCTTGCGACTGAAGAAGCAGGTTCTATTCAAAGCTACGAAAGCAGTCCTGCATATTTCCGCTAGTTCCTTTTTGCTTCAATATATGCAACAGAACTAATGTACTGTTACTCATTGTACCTTTAATATAGACTGCTTTAGATTAGTCTGATTTATTTTAGTTTTCTTGAATTACCACTCAAATTTGAAATAATTGAAAATAAAATTTAAAATTATTAGGTTTAAATTAATTGTTGGCATTCCAGTGACAAAATTTATGAATGTGTGATACAGTAAAATAATAACAAAACATTCCAGACGTGAAATAATGCATATGAATTAAATAACATTATAAAATTCTAATAAAATTGTTTGCATAATAATTAGCATACCTGCCTTCTAACAAATCGACAATGGTACTGAAAATGCAAAATGTTGATGAAATTTAAATAGCTTAAAGTTTCTTTAAAATACTAAATTATTACTAAAATGAATAATAAATAAGCATGCATTTAACTAATGCGTAATAAGGCTTTGGAAGAAATAATTTAGGGCATACAATTCAATATTACCTTTTTATTAATTCGTTGACTGGGTATGTTTTAAATAATTAAAAACTATTTTTCAGTCTTTAGAAGCATTTCTTCTACCATTTATGCAGAACAAGAAAATTAGATTTATAACACGATCGTCTGTTCTTACACATCGAAATAATGTAATGTTTCATAGAAGATGTTCGGAAATGAATGATTAATATTTGTTATTTCAGTTTTATCGTTTCTCTATGAACTTAACATATATATTATTAAATTAATTTTAACAGATGGTTATATCATATACATTTCGATGCAAGTGTGTGCTTTAAAAAAAGAATTTAATAAGTATTTACATTTTTCATACATATAATTACCGAATTATGTTTTGCATAAATACTTATATCAAAATTCGTTTTCTTCAGACAGTAAATTTGATTCTTGGTTTATGTTTTCTCTCTTAGAAAATAGTAGATATTAACCATCTCTGTAAAATATTCTGTAAGTGGAAATCTGAAATGTTTATGTAAGTATATCCCATTGGTTTAAATAATTTTATGTTAAAGAAGAACTCTAATTTGATATATGTAGTTAACAAATAAATAAAGTAGTGCGATAATTATCAACTAGTAAACGTAATTTTATTCTATCAAAAAAAGCATTAAAATAATGTCTACAAGAATTATTATCCTTATATGTATAAATGCTCAACACTGATAGTAATTACTTTATAATATATGTAATTTAAGTAATCCGTATAAATTCTTCAAATATGCACGCAAGTTTATATGCTCATAGCCCTCCAAATAAAACATTTCATTTACAGTTTTTACTTATATGATTACTATTGCTGTTTATATTTTCGAACAATCTTTGTATTTTTAAATAGTCTGGTTAGGACCTCTCTATTAAATGTTAGGAGTGAAAAGTCCAGTAGCTATTATTTGACGGTATATAAAAAAAATGCATACTATTAACGAAAACTTTAAAAGTACCTAATCTAACAATACACAGAGATATGCATGACACACAGAAACTAGAAAAGTATTCAAAAGACATGCACAGTTTTTAAAACACTGAAATGTAAATGTCTAATCCTCTCTTAGAAAGTTAAACGATTAAAGATAGTAAATTTAAATTATTAAAAATTTAAAATTAGAAGTTTCTCAATAATGGCTAAGCTATTATTGAGGTACTTATTTTTTAAAAATATTGTTAACTAATATTTTATCATTTTGAAGAACGAGATAACGAGATTAGATGTTCTTACCAGGCTTCAGGAAGAAGAGCAGGAGGAAGAGAGCCTTTAGCACATTCATGAGTAACTGCTTCTCAAGAGCAGCAACGATTCGACTTCACGGCTTCCCATCTCCCTCCCGAATGCCGTTTTCTACCTCTCTCAGAAGAAAAAATGTTCGCATCTTCTTCGAAAGTTTGCGTCGCTGCATTGCGCGCAGTCAAATTTTAGCGGCCCGCGCATTTTAAGATTTCGTTAGAATGGAATGGAGGCTTTTCGAAAAAATTATCTAGATGAGATCATGTGAAGCTTCATACCCAAAGAGCAGATTGAAAATATGAAATTTTGCACTACTCCAGGCTAACCGTTGGCCACAGTGAGTTCCCGTGAGCAGAATACATTTGACAGGCCTGCGAGCATATAGACCAGTCTGTCCCAAACGTCTTTACACAGTTTGTCTTGAAACTGTCGTACCCGTGGCTGAAGACAGCTGACGATACAGGTCTGATCCAGTGCTCCGTCTGCTTCTTTTAGCACATTTGGCAGTTACTGACAAATACCACCGTTATTTGGTGTTCTAACTCGGAGGCGATCTACCGCCATCTCCATAATTTTGGAATCGTTGTCAAAGCCTAGAGATGAAACTTTGGGCTATTCCAAGTTCCTCGGTTACTTCCATCTAAGTACGCCCACATTATAGGGGGCCGATAATTATACTACGTAGGAAATCGTCCACATGCATCATCTGTACCCTAACGATTCTGTTGTGGCACTAAGCGGCTTCCAAAACGTTTGTGAACAACCTTACTTCTTTGCTACCATTCCTTACATACACTTCTCTTATACTCTCGTCATTGTGATGTACTATCGGCGTCATGTGATGGCTTCCTGTAATTTGCATATTATTCTTGAAGATATGTGCAGTAATTCTACAGGTGAAAGTTTTACTTTAGGGTTCAATTTCCGTGTGACTCTGAATTATATTTAATTTATGAGCATGAGTGCATTTCACTGGATTGCCTGGAACAAATATTTCTCTCAAATGATAGCATCTAATTTTTCAAGAAGCGAAATCTCCTAACTAAAGGTAACTGAAGATCCCCTAACTAAAGATATTGTTTAATTATTAACCTTTTGAGGCCGGGGCTTTGGTAGCAGTAAAAGCCATCAAAGGATGGGGAATCTTGAACCGAATGCTTTCCCCCCTTTAAGAAATCACCTCCTATTTGCAACAAAGATTCATGTGTGTAGTTTAATGGATTCTCAGAGGGGTGCATCTATGTCGCAAAAGGAAGACCTTTGAAAGAGATAAGTGGTTAAAACCCTAGGGTCGTCAAATTTGACATTTCACCCCACTTTTCAGCCTGGAAAATGGGGCGAAAAAGACATGGCCACTAAAGTGGACAACCCCGTCTTTTCAAAGAGAGGATTCTTATGGCCACTATAATGGCCATCCCGTCTTCAAAAGGTTAAAGAAAATAAAATAAAGCAAAATAAAATATAGTTAAACTAAACTAAAAGGGATTTAAAATGCTTAAATTTGAGTGCAATCAGTAGTAAATCCTGAAACATTTCTTATGTATTCAGCTTTTTTATGAAATTAATCTATAATTAATATAAAGTGTTCATTACCATTTCAATAAGCAAACATTAACATATTTAGTATGCAATGCAAAACGAAAAGTTGTAAAAGAATGGTATACGGTACATATTTTTAATGTATTGTTTTAATTTAACATTCAAAGTGACACTAAAAACAGTTAATTGCCTTTAAAGAAACAATAATTTCCATTTTCCTTCGTAGGGTTTCTTTAACTTTTATACAAATCAAAAAAGATTATTTGAAGTAGATTCGAAAAAGCCTATCAAACCATCACAGGAAATGAATGACTTAGCGGCGCTTGAAGTATAGCCGATTTCAGTTATAAAAGCAATGAAAGATCGTTTCACTACTACTTTGTACAAAAGAAAGGCTTAAATAGGTATGGAGAAGATAGCTCATAGATTTTGCAGTGATATTTAGGTTAGAGAAGCTGGAAAACCAATAATGTTTTGCTGCTGATGTGTTTTTTACAGTTTAAAAAAACTACAATAGTTTCTGAAAATGTGCATTTTTCTTGGTAAAGGATAGCTCTTCATTGTTGCAAATTTTTCTTAATAGTTATATTTATTTTCATAAAACATGTTTAGATTTTTTTAACATTATTTTACATATTTTTTTGTTTAATGATTGATACACTTATTATTTCACTGAAATGTGCGTTTTTCTTTGCGCAGAAAATTTTCTTTAGTATTTGTGTTCATTTAGGTTGTAGGATTCCCCACTGCGTAATTCCAAGTTGCAGTTAAAAGTAAAGAATCTTAAGAACTAGTAAGCGAATAATCGCTTGAGTTCGTGAGAAAATAAATAAACTTGGAAAGAGTTAAAAGACCCTTTATTATTCAAATAAGATTTAACAGAACTCGGTTTTGGAATTGTACAATGAAGCCGACACTCGGGCTTGAACTTAAGAGACTAAGAATAATACTAAACTAATCTGCACTAAAGAGGTATAGTCGAAGTTATCAAAATTCTAACATAATTGGCCCCTTAACGCTAATTGACTGCGAAGCTATCAAGGGTCTAAAATACGGCCGAGCGTGATAATAGCTTACGAGAGAGAAGCCTAAAAAGGCGGACGCGTCCAGCCAGAATATCTAGTATCTCTCTCACTAAGACTGTAGAACTTCGCAGTTAAATGCCGTACTTCCTCATTAGCATTCATACGTGATTCTAAAACTATGTTCTGGCCGGAAGTGGTAAGTTGAAATTAAGAAGCGATAGGGAAGGAAGTTTAACTTAAAATTTATCTGTTAATAAAATTAACACAATCCTTACCTAATCCTACAATTTTTACCTTAATCCTATAATTTTTTTTCTAATATCTTGCAGCATTTTTATTTATTTATTTATATATTTACATAATCTAACTATTCTATGGTATTTTCTATGATAATATAATTTTCATTACGAAAAACGTTATTTTGTTTAATCTTCACTTTCTAGCCGTTTGTTGTATTTATAATTGTTTATATCACCATTTATGTTATAATACGTTTAATTATAATTCACTGTTATATCTATTTATGTTATAATCCATTTAAGGTCACCCAGACGATATAGTCGTTAGGAGAGCCTACTGCTATACCAAATGGTCCGGATCCTGGAGAAGGCATGTCGTCTCTTCCGAGGAGGCAATGGTGGCCACCTATTAGGTGCTTCCATCATGAAATGGCCACCACTTTCGGCCCTTGTAGTGGAGCAAGGCTAATGGCTATTCATTAAGTCGCCCGGCCATTAAAAAAATAATAATCCATTTAATTTAGGCCATTAACGTTGAAAATGTTGGGTGGCAGAATATAAGCAAAAATCCTTTTACCGTGACTAGGGTAAAATTTGGTGACATTTGGCAATTTCTCGCCAGTGTGACTACGTTTTGGAAAATGAGTGTTCGAAAGCCTTTAAGATATGCTTACGCTCTCTCTTCTTATAAATAGGAGGATGTGTTTGAGCCGTTAGTCAGTGTGTTAGCTTAGATCAGAATCGTGCGATTTCCTTAAGCTTTTCGTTCGGTGAATACCGCTAAAGGCATTGTAGGAACCTTTAGGATTTTACAAGGCGGGAAACATTAAGAATCAAGACTGCTTAGGCAGGATTCGAGCTATGATAGCATGCATTGCGAATGCGAAAATTCCTAGTATTCTCCCCCAGCTTAAAACACGAAACCAAGTTGTTGAATAATTTGCTAGCCACCATTAGGTTTCGGAGCAAAAAACATGAAAAGTTAATTATTTTCTTGCTTTGTGTTTAATTACGTATTTTCCAATTGCTGATGGTGCTAGCCACTTATATTACAACAGCAAGCAAGGAGGAATGTAATAATATCACTTTGCTTTGCAAATGATTTTGGTGATATGAAGCATTCTTTCCATATTAAGAAATATTTTTTCTTATTTCTGTATTTCTCTTTCGTTTAATTATAACAACTTATGTTGTTGCAAGGGTAGGGTACGAACTGCGCCAAATTTGATCGAAGATCCCCGTCCCCCTCTTTTCTAATCCACGAACTGCACGACGTTTCCTGTCCCCTATTTCTTTCCCAAGAAGATTGGGTGCTACAAAAAGTCATTTATCGCCATTAATGGGACATTCTATTGACGCTGCAAGCCTTTATATTCGTTTATCAAAATTCTAAAAATTGTGCATGCAAAACAAATATTAATTTAAAGTCTGGCGTGTGCTAAAGTAAAAATAAATTTCGTTTACACTCATTTTAAAGTTTTAAAGTTACGTTCACAGAGGCCTTTAAGACGTTTACTTTTGACCTCACAACATCGGCGGAGTCGTCTGGAGTGGTGTCGCAGCCGATCATTGTGGCTGCCATCAGACTGGCATAGTGTTCAACGATGAATCCCGCTTCACTCTTGAAGCAGATGACTACCGTGTTTGTGTCTGGAGAGGACGGAGCCAGTGGTTCCAATCAGCTTTCGTTTCACAAAGACACACAGCCATAACCCCTGGTGTGAGGGTGTGCGGCGCTATTTCTTATGACAGCAGGTCATCTTTAGTCATCCTCAACGATGTGTTGATACCATCCTGCGGCCGGTTGCATTCCCCTTCATGGGCACGTCATCGTGGGGCCATTTTCCAACAAGATAATGCCAGACCACATACCAATAGCATATCTCTGGACTGTCTCCGCGAGACTGATACTCTTCCTTGGCCAGCAAGGACACCAGATCTTTCACCAATCGAGCATGTCCGGAACTTGGTAGGCCGCCAGATTCGGGCATCGCAAAATATCGCATATCTGGAGCGGCAGCTGATGAATGCCTGGCAGAATGTGTCGCAGCATGACATTAAGTACCTCTACTACTCCTTGCCTCGACGAATTCAAGCATGCATTGCCACCAGGGGCGATTCGGACCGGAAAATGTAAAAGTCTCGCAAACGTCTGAAATAATTATGAAACAGGCATCAAGAGAAAAGAGTTTATTATAGCTCTAATCGTGTACATTTTCTTTCATTGATTTATAATTTACATGATAAAATATTTCAATGACAGAGTTTAGCATTCGAAATCTTCAGGCGGAAATTCATTAGAATTCAGAA